TTCTAAAGTTGCTATTGCATTTACATCCCTGTTAACAAGCAATTAATGGCCCCATTCCCCTACTTCCTCAGGTACTTGCTAATATCTGTCTTTTTCATTATAGCCATCCTCAAGAAAGTGAAGTGGCAACTTATTATTGTTTCATTTAGCATGCTCTTGGTGGCTAATGGCACAGACCACCTTTTCAAATGTGGGTTGACTGTTTTCCTCTTAGAGTCTTGAGTCATGATGGGTCCCCATAGACTTTATACCCAAGCCCCTTATAAGATGTGTAATTTGGAAAAATTATCTCCAGTTTTGTTGGTATTGTTTTCATTTTGGTTTTGAGTTTGTAGCCTTGGTTGGCCTAGAACTCACTATGTAGCCCAAGCCCACGTGGGATTTTAGAGCACTCTGCGTCAGCCTCCCAAATGCTGGAATTACAAGTGTGAGCCACCACACTCTGCTTGTCTTTTCATTTTCTTGCTGGTATCTTGTAAAGTACATACGTTTTAAATCTTGATAACCTCACTGGATTTTACATGGTGAGTTTAGTTTTTGCCTTTTGGTTATTAACAAGTTGACATCCATGTGTGCATGTAGTCCCATTGTACATGTATGTGTTTGTGTGCGTGTGTGTCTGATCTAGAAGAAATGATGAACTGATCTAAATAACAGAGCTCCAGAAGAGATAAACAAGTTAGGAAAGTGTAGCATTGAAGGAAACAGTAAGAAAATGAAAAGCGGGGTGTGGCCTGAAGGCCCACGAAGGGTGTTCATTCCTGTGTAATGTAGGAATTGCCCTGGTCACCTAATACCAGAAAGTCACCACATGAAGGAAACGCCAGCCTTAAAAACTAGCCCTGGACAATAGCAGAGGCTGTACTTTCTTTACACTCTTGTGGAAACTAGACAGATGGTAGGATGCATGTGTGCTTATTCCTTGACCGGCTACTTTAATCACACATGTACAGCAAAGTGTTTTTGGAGATGTGTGTGTTTATGTATGCATGAGTGTGTATGCCCATTACATATGCGGGTGAAGCCAGAGCTGTCAGTTGTTACTGACAGCACAGGGGCAGATGAAGTTGTTTTCCTTATTATTTCCCTTGTCTTTCTGCACTTACCTCCCCCAGCCCTGCCACTTCCCATCCAAACACAGGAATATACTAATCAGGGAACTATGCACTGCTGTTAGTAAAGGGGTCAAATCCATTTGGATGGAATTCCAGGCCCAACATGCTAACAATGGCAGGAAACTGGGTCCTCGAGCTGGCTGGAGCTCGGGGTTGTTGAGCGATAGATTGTTGAAAGAGCTGGCCCGGGGGTAGGCTGTTTTGGCTTGCTTTGTGTTTGGAATGCCACAATTGTTCCAGACACAATGAGGGATCTGTCTGTCCATGTAGAAGAAATTACGATTGCAGGAATATAACCAAACGTGCTGCTCTCAATTGCAAATGACGCTTTAGTGGTCCACATATAGCTTCGTAGGGACAGGCAGGATTTTTAATTTAACATTTCAGGTAATAATGATGGCAGGCCTTCTATCCAACTTCCATATCTGCCTACAGTGCCTTGCAGGGAACACGGGTTTCTCTGCTTTCAGCTCGTTTGTCTGGACTACCTGGCTTACTGATTCTGATGACAAATTAGTATGCGGGGCTGTCTCTGCAGAAACTATAGACATTTGACACACTGAGTTGGCTGTACCCCAACCTTGCCCTGCTGCTGATTTTCTGTGGGAATTGTAAGCTCCTGACTAGCAATCTCTCCATATAGATAGCACCGAGGTACTGTTTCCTAATTAGGGGGAAAAACACATTTACATCTGGCCTAGAATCTTGTTCAGGTTCAGGTTGATGTGACTTTAGCCAAGGATCATACCAAATAACTTCCTTTTACTGAGGATACATGACCCCCCTGATCCTTTGATTTACTGTGCAAGGCACAGTAGGACAATCCACCCTGGTGGTGACTTACACCATCATTCATTCTTTCTATCACTCACCATTCAACAACTGTGTTTGGAAGGCTGACTCCACGCCAGGTATTGTGTTGAGACAGGGGTAAAACTAGCAAAGATCTATTCTCTGAACTTACAGAATGGATGTGAATATGAATAAAACTGCATGACTATCTTTGTCCCAAAGTAACGCAAATGTTATGTGCCCTGCAGGTGGAGTGTGAAGAACATTCCCAGAAATAGTTATGACCTTTCATTGCCTATCCAGGGGCAGGGTAGAAACAAGGGTCCCTGGCAAGGGGTTTGGCCCAACTCGGATCCATCAGATCTTCCCGAGAAGAAGTGGGAAATGATAGTTCTTCTTGAAGCATGGGCATAGGAAGGAATGGGTGGGCACATGGACAAAATTTGGGATCCGTTTGAAAGAAGAGTGAATGTAACTGGAGACAACCAGTGATATAAGCACCTTAGACTGACAGATGGGTAATTACAGTGGTAATGTGCAGATAATTGGGGTAAGGAGGGGAGATCAGTAGGAAATGCTAAAGGATTTGAGGAAAGCTAGCAGGGCATATGACAGAAGAGAAGACAGTTACCAAGGAAAGCATTAAGCAGTTCCGAGAGCTGTGGGAGAAAGAAACAACCACCCCATGAGACTGATCCATGGGGATCTGATCCTGGAGGTTTTACACTCAGGGTCAAGCTTGTAGTTTTGATTCATTCATGTCAATGTGACTTAAAGACCAGAAAGCTGGCAGGCTAAACCTTGCTGTGGGCTGATTTTTGGTTCAGGTGAACACCTGAGATTTCCTCATGCCACAAGATGTTCTTTATCAGAAGCCATAGCGCACCCTTCCACAGTGGATCGCACTCTGAGGCCCTTCACACAGGCGTGGACACTGAGATGGCAGACCAGGGCTCATCGTCACAGTCCTAGAAAAATGTCAGCTGTGAGAGTCGAGCTTGGATTTGTCTGAGTCTCAGCACCATGAACCTTTTTTGGGGTGGTTATTTGGTCCACAGGCAAATGGCTCAGACCTCTCCTGGAATCCTGTGGTGGCCTCCCTTTGTACAGCTGAAGCCAGCACTTACCATTGCATATCTGACAGTCTGGGGTTGCTGACAGCAGACTATTCAAGGAATGACATCAAGTAGCTTTTCTCAAGGTCATTTCCTGCCCATGATCTCAGCGAAGATCACATTCCTTAAGGACATGTGCATGGGGGTGGTGGTGCGGGTGGAAACAGACCATATTCTGTTGCAGAGAGATGCCTAAGGCAGCTGTAATGGTTACTATGACCCCCGTCACTCGTGTGTGTGTGTGTGTGTGTGTGTGTGTGTGTGTGTGTGTGTGTCAGTCCTCTCTGACTTGTTTTGCTGATGAATGCACACCTCCCTCAAACGCTTGACAGAAAACAAAGCCTGTCTGCTCACTCTGCATGCTTGAACTGTCTTCATGCCAAGACAATAATTCTCATTTTAATGACAAATGCTGCTCTTGTTGTCTACCCAGGAAACATTGCCTGATGAGGAACGGCTTCTTAATCGGGCTCCTTACAGACATCACTTGCTTAGTTCTAAGGTCAGAGCTTGCTTAGATGGCCTTCACTGCCTCTCTCAACTCTGATTCTCTTTCTGTGCATTGGCAGAGTAGTGGGTGCTAAGAAGAGGCAGGGGTGATGGGAAACAACTCTTGAGTGTGCTTTCCTCTACAGTCCTAGGCTACTTCCCAGGGCATCTGCACACTTCATCTAGTTCCAGGACATGTTTGATGAAGAAAAAGGAGAGACGAAGGCACTTGCCAGAGAGCTTTAGAGTTGTTAGGTGGAGTGACCAGTTGCAATCTGGAGAAGGCTGTGTAGAAGCTAACCCTGCAGTCTACATGCCTTATCCTGAAGATGACACATGAATGTGCCACGGCATGGATGTCAGTATCAGCTGTGGCGCTGAGAAGCCCGTAAGGGCTTTATTTCCTTAGAGGAGGAAGATATTCAATCATATGTATTATACACGCTACCACCTCTCTCCCGCTCCCATTTACTATCACCCTCAGAAGGAGAAAACAGATTATCACCCCCTCCATATTTATGTTCTGACTGAAATGGGCCCCCGATGATGTCACCTAAGCCTTCAGGTCTCTATTCATTCCCCAGTAAATAGAGGCTCTTGAATGGAATCATTGATGGGCCCTCAGGCTGACCTAAATTCTGACGATGAATCCAGTAGAGTAAGGCATGCTATGGTACCTCCTGGGAGTTTCTCCACACTGGCTCATGGATGCCATATTTCCTGTGGTCATTAAAGGGTGCCAGTGTCATAGGGATGGCTTTACTGTCAGTTTCTAGAGTATTCCAGGAAAATTGGTTTTGCTCTCTGCTCTGCACATGCCTACATACAGGGAGATTATTTTGTACATAGGTAATTAATAAGGGGGTCAATTTCTCTGAAGCATAATTTGTTCTGTCAGTCACTTGGACTTTCAGCCCCAGTAAGGACTTCTTAGGATGTCAAGCACCAGCCCTCCTGTCTTCCCCACACTCAGGGACAGACAGTTAAGAAATAAAATCCAGTTTGCAGAATCATCAGATGAACTAACTTGTGCCTGTTTTTGATTCATTTGGGGATGAGGACTAGATTAGTGTGCATGGTGTTGTGGGCCAGACATATAAGGAGTGGCTGCAGACTTTCTGGGAATCCTGTGTTAGAGATGGAAGGGCCTAGAAGATGTCTAGATGACTCTCTCTACTCCTAGTTTGCCAAAATTCTTATTTATAGCTCCCATCTTCTAGTTAAAAAATGAACCTTGCACAAAATGTATTCACTTGGAGGCAATTAAAGAAAGGTGTCTATTTAGGAAAATAAATGACCCCCAAATAGCAATAACGATGGTGGTGAGTTGTTCATTAAGAAAACTGCAACATAAATCCTCTGTATTCCACAGATTTTGTCAAATGGCCTGCCCCAACTAACAAGTTCGTATAAATTTGGCCAGCAGATGGCAGCAGATGTTCCCATTAGAAAGAAGGAAAGCCTCATCAGCAGTCTTTTCTAGCAAAAAGGAGCCTTTTAAGTGAACGCATTCACCAGAGTTCTGAAGCAGGAACCCTCCTTATTTGGGAGCTCTTGGCAGTACACAGTGGAAGATTGGGGTGAGTTATTTCCATAAAGTTTGTTAAAAGGGAAGTACAGATGAGATTAAGAACTGGAAAGAAAACTCTATTGAGTTTTGCATCCTAATTACAATCCAATTTCTCGGCCCACAAACTCCCACCAGCCTCTCTGGGCCTGCAGTATGGAGAGTGCTGGGGCACCGGACCAGGAAACACTGGGTGGCTGGGTCTCCTGCTTTATCCCTTGCTGCATGTTTGTATTTATTTAACTTTTTTTCAGATTGCAAGCCTAGCTTTTACGATGTGGCTACAGTCTTGCTGATTAGAAAAGAGAGTACTGGGGGTTGGAGGGGAGGGTGGGGCTAACTGTTCTGGAGGAGAAACATTCATGCTTTAAGATGTGTGTGCTGATGAATGCCACCTTTTCTGTCACTGCTCAGGGTCACCAGACGAGAGTGCTGCCATACTAAGTTTCCAGATAAATCCTGGCCGATTTATGTCAAGTTCTAATCCTTATAGGACTTTTAAAAAGTAGTGAAAAGGTTCATTCATTCATTCATTCATTCATTCATTCATCATTCATTCAATGAATCTTTGCTGTCGGCCCACCATGCCCAGTGCTGCTCTTAGGGAAGGAAGTCTGTAGTCTAGAAAGGAACCAGACCCTCATCAGGTCACCACAGGAACCTATAGCCTGAAGCTGAGGTGGGTGCTTTGGGGGGAAGGAGCACAGACCTGGGCTGTTGTTGAACCCATGGAGTTGATCTGGGTTTAAAGATTGATAGGAGGAGGCAGTGTGCCCGAGGAGTGACCCTTGAGCTCAGACAAGAGACTAGAAAGTTCTAAGACCTGGAAGGAAGGATGGGAGGTTAGAGACACTGGGATGCCTACAGGAAGAGATATAGTAGTGGGGGAGAGAATGGATTCTGTTATGTAGGTGAAAACTCATCACGTTTCTTGCATTCTTGAGACATACATGGGTTATACACCTAAACCTGGGCTCTAGTATCCAAATGCTTTGTTAAATACATGCAAATATTGCATAATCTTAAAAATATCCAGAACCTAAAACATTTTGTCCTAAGCAGGCTGGGTAAGGAATATTGCCGTGCTTTGAAATGAAACACATCCCATGAGTACCTTTGACGTGATGATTCATTTTAATTTGCTTAATTGTCAACTTGACACAATACAGTATCACCAGGGGAAAGGGTCTCAAGGAGGGACTGTCTAGATCAATTTAGGCTATGGGTATGACTGCAGGGGCTTGCCTTGATCACTTCAATGTATGTGGGAGGGCACAGCCCACAGCGAGTGACACTTGTGTCGAGCATGCCCTAGCATGAGTAGGCATGCATGAATTCATTCTCTCTACTCTTGACTGGGGATGCGACGAGCTGCCTTGACTTCCACTCAGCAGGGGCCTGTAACCTGTAACTGAAAGTCTCCCCCAAAGCTGCTTTCATCAGGGCGTTTTTCATAGCAAAAGGAAGGAAACTAGGACGAGTGGTGAATGCTCAGTCCCTCGCTGGTGATAAACTTACAGCAAGATACTTAGGAGCTGTTCCTTCAACTTTGGACATCTCTTTTGAGTGTCTCCGTGTATCCCATGCTCCTCTGGTCCTTGACTTCCTCATTCCAGCATGAAGGTTCAAAGCATCCCTCTTTCTTCCCATAGTTCTAGCTTTGCTCTCATACTCTGACATACAGTTAGGAGATGGGGAAATGCCCTTAATGTACAGCCAGGGGAAAATGCCCTTAAAGTATGGCCAGGCTCCCAGCACTGAGCCCTGGTAGCTTGTTAAACTGTCTTAAAACCATGGACTGAAATCGATGTCGGTTACCCCTGAAACTCACATCCACATAAATGGTGAGTTCAGGGTTGAGCATCATTAAGTCACAGCACTATTGGCATGAACTGTGACTCAGGAGAACAGCATCCCATCTCTATCCATGACACGGAGAAAAGGATCAGAAAGGATGGAGAGAACCACACAGCTGCCTCCTCAGTGGCCAACCCTATTTACTTAGCTAGGGTCATGACCTCAGTGAATGTTAGAATGGCACTGAAATAAATGACCCAGGCATAGTGGCACATGCTTGGAATCCCTGTATGAGAGAGGCTGAGGCAGGGGGATCGAGAGTCTGAGGTCTGGTCTATGCAATGACACAGACACTGTGTCTAAAAACATGGTCTTGAAAAATTATTATTCAGAATTTTAGTAAGAAGTAGATGATCAATGCCAATTTCTGAAAACACACAATTATTCTTCCTTATCACTTAAAGGGTAATTTTTTTAATGGGAAGCCATGTGGTCTGGTGGGAAAGACCAGGTCTGCTGAGGGATGTCCTGAGTTTTCAGCCAATCGATACTCAGAGTGTCTGCCTCCGCCATCCTTAGCTTCCTTCCTTTTGGAGAAACTTAACTGAGTCATAACTTACACAGGATAGAATGTACCCATTTTTAAGGGCCAGATGGTAAATTTATTGAGTACCTAAATCAAACACATAACCTTCCCACTTTCTCCCCACTGTCAGTCAGTATCTCTCTGTTTCCCCAACCCTAAGCAAACTGTCATTCCAGATCAGATTAGCCTAGTCCATAAATCCACATAGCAAAACTGTACAGTATGAACTCCCTTGGGTCTGATTTGCTTTATTTAGCACACCTTTGAGATTTATCCAACGCTCTTGTATGCACCATACTTCATTTTTATTACCATGTAGAGTTTCATTATATGGTAAGGCTGCTGTTTATTCATTCACCTTTGGTGCTGCTCTCTTAGGCACTGGGAATATTCATGCAATTGTACTTTTTGTGGGCATACACGCCCCACCACCACCCCTGGCAAAATCCTGGGAGAGGGATTGCTGATTTATAAGTATAAAGTAAATGTCCTCGCTTGCTTTCTGTTGCTTTGGTAAAACACTGATTAAAACTAGCTTGGGGTTGGAAGGGTTTATTTCACCTTACAAATTATAGTGCACAGTTAAGGAAGGCTGTGGCAGGAACTCAAGGCGGGAGCTTGAAATGAAAACACAGAGTAGAGCTGCTTGCAGGCTTGCTCCTGGATTCACGTTCAGTTACCCCTCTTCTACGGTCCAGGCCACATGCCCAGGGATGGCACTGCCCAGCGCAAGCTGGGCCCTCCCACATCAATCATTAATCAAGAACTTTCCCCCACTGCTTCCCTTACTAGCCACCACATGGTAGTAAATAAATACCTCAGTAGCAGGAATGGGTTACCTCTTTTTGAGTTGTTGGCCAGTGAGGCCCCATAGCCCCCCAGACATAACAGATTACTACCATTTCTCTATGTTACTCCAGAACTTGACAGTAAGACTCTATTGTTGAGACCAGGTGGTGGTGGCACATGCCTTTAATCCCAGTCCTTGGCAGACAGAGGAGACAGGTTTCTGAGTTCAGGCCAGCCTGGTCTACAGAGTGAGTTCCAGGACAAGCAAGACTACACAGAGAAACCCTCAAGCAAAACAACAAACAAAAAGACTATTGCTGAAGATCATTTGTGGTTTTCATGAAACTTTGAGCTTCATGAAGGACACATATGAAAGCTTGCCGTCGAATCACAAAAAAAAAAAACTAAGAAGGAGATAGCATTAGAATCAAACACAGCTAAGTTGGTAGATAAATAGGCTTTAAAAAGTCATAGGTTTGGCTTTTCAAAGTCACTGGTTAAAATTTAGGATCCTCTTTGCCAACTCTCTGTGAGCAATGTGATTTTGCAGCTGTCCTTTCTGTTTCTAGAAACTGACCCCAAAGTTCAAATCAATTTATTCAGATATTAAGCATCATCTCATAGAGACAAATGTGGGCGATTAAATATTGTTTTTAATTACTGATTACATAAAACTTACATAAAAATTTATAGTGAATCCCATGGCTGCCTTTGTCTACAAAGTGAGTCACTCCTTCTGTCTGGGCATCAAAATATGTACTTTGAACTTCTGTTACAGATAGGTACAAATTTCCAAACTAGGAAACTTCTGCTTATCCTTCATCTTATAACATTGCTGACACAGTCATTGGATAAAACTTAATGTCTTCCATTACCTGGTATGGGATTACTATGGAAACTGAGATGGCCATGGCCCCTGTCCCTGTAAATTTTCACATCCTGTAGGGATGGCATTAGGCAAAATACAAACACATAGTCATGTAATTATGAACTGTAGGAAAAAGAAACTGCAGGGATGGCAGGGTTGCAGGGGTGATGAGGTCTGCAGGGATGGCAGGGTTGCAGGGGTGATTTTGAGGTCTGCAGGGATGGCAGGGTTGCAGGGGTGATTTTGAGGTCTGCAGGGATGGCAGGGTTGCAGGGGTGATTTTGAGGTCTGCAGGGATGGCAGGGTTGCAGGGGTGATGAGGTCTGCAGGGATGGCAGGGTTGCAGGGGTGATTTTGAGGTCTGCAGGGATGGCAGGGTGTGCAGGGGTGATTTTGAGGTCTGCAGGGATGGCAGGGTTGCAGGGGTGATGAGGACTGCAGGGTTGGCAGGGTTGCAGGGGTGATGAGGTCTGCAGGGATGGCAGGGTATGAAAGTAGAGTGGTGACTCCAAAGAGGGATGAGGAACAGTAGAGCCACTAGGTCATTACCATGCTGACAATGTGAATATTCAGGTGTGATGACGTGGGACTCTACATCCACTATGCAGATCCTGACGCAGAACCCTCAGCTCCTCCCCAGCACCATGTCTGCCTGTGTGCCACCATGCTGATGACGAACTAAACTGCTGAACCGTTAGCAAACCCCAATTAAATGCTTTCCTTTATAAGAGTTGCCATGGCCATGATGTCTCTTCACAACAATAGAACAATGACTAAGGCACTATCCTACTGTAGTGATGAAGATGTCGTCTCTGGGGTTGGGTGGACTAGGTTCAGGATGTGCAGATCCTCTCTGTACTGTTTTTGTAACTTCCCAAAGATCTGTAATTGCTTCTAAACAGAAAGTATTTTAGAAAGGTCATCCTGGACTTAGGAACAGGAAGAGGCTGGAGGGAGGCAGGATGACACGTGTGCTACAGCAATGACAGGAATCAGAGGGATTCCATCCTCAGGGGTTATATCTTTCACTGTGAGAAGGGAAATAGGCATAGAAGCAGAGAAAAATGAGGGGTGTGAGAAAGTATTCCATGTATGTATGTATGTATGTATGTATGTGCATTGCTGTTTTCCCTGCATGGCTCTCTATGTGAGAGTGCTGAGTCCCCAGGACTGCAGTTACAGACAGTTGTGTCATGTGGGTGCTGGGAATTGTACCTGGGTGCTCTTCACTACTGAGCCATCTCTGCAGCCCCGGTATTTCTTTGATGATAGTGGATATATCAGTTGCATTTTTATTTGTTAGAATCTCCTGACAAGAGGCATTTTAGAGAAGAAGGTTGCATTATTTTGTTTGGGTGGGGAAAAATCACCGGACAGGAGTGTGAGCAGCTATCCTATGACTCCCACAGTCAGGCAGCAGAGAGGGGTGGTGCTCAACTCATTCTTTCCTTTTATTTGTCAGTCCAAGCCCCCAACCCATGGACTGGAACCTGTATTTAGGGAGGATTTTCTACCTCAATTGCTCCTGGAAATACCCTCACACACCAGCCTAGAGGTCTGTCCAATAGTTGATTCCTGATCTAACCAAGCTGGCCACCAACTATTGGGGAGTTAGAATAGGATGCGGGGATAGAGATAATTATAATGTATTCTGTACATGTGTAACGTTCTCAAATTGCACAATAGTTTTAAATTATCATCACAGTTGTATGTGGGGAGAAGGGAAAATTGCCAGGAATAACTAGGTTTAGAGAAGGTCACCAGGAATCATGGTGGTGCCACTCTTCATGCTGGAGAACCAGGTTCAATAACAAGACAGAAGGGACAAGGATTTGGAGGTGGAGGGTGGACTTCTTTCAAACACACTGAGTTTTAGATGCTATGCTGGTTGGAACCTGATATAATTAATCCCCACAGGATCATGTTTTGAATGCTTGGTCCCTGGTTTGTGGTGCCATTTTGAAGGCTATGCAGTAGCAGGTGGAGCCTCTCTGTCAGAAGTATGTCACTATGACAAGCCTTTGAAGATCATTCCAGCTCTTGGTTCCTGTCTAGCTCACTGTGCTTCCTGTCTGCCACCATGGGAACCAACACTCCTACTGCCATGGGCGGAGCCCTCCCACCAACATGCCTTCTCCACCATGGAGTCTGTGATCCAAAAGAACCCCTCCTTCCTTTAGCTGTGTCTGCTGCATATTTAGGTTAGAGAGACGCAAACTAAGACAGGTGCTTTGGGGATGGCTAATCAGAGCTGGTAAACTGACTGCCCAGGGCTCAGAGCTCGGTATCGAAGGTGCAGGAAAGACATGTTTAAAGCCATTGGAGGAGTCTGAGTGGGGGAAGAGTGTGGAGGGCTGGGGTCCTAGGATCTAGTGTGAACAACTCCCTACCCCTACTAGCTGGGAAGACAAGGACCAGTAGTGAACATCCAGGAGGAGTTGTCAGAGAAACCTAAGAGAGGCTGGATGTGCATCGTATCGGAGGAAAGACTGGAGGGGTGTGGCTCCAGATTCCTAAGGCCAATGACAACTGAAAATGACTGTTGAGTTTAGCACTATAAAGTTATTGATGGCCTTGTGAGTCTCTCCATGCCCCATGCCATCGTTCAAGAGGTTAGAGGGACACTGGGCGAGGAGACAAGAGAGAAAACAGATATATCAAATTTCTCCTGACATTTGGATATGAAGGGATAGAGGAAGCTGGGAAGATGTTTTTCTTGTTTGTTGTCCTTAACTAAAAAAGGCATCAAAATGGGGGGAAAACCACCAAAGGAAAGGCTGTACTACTGTAATTGGGAAGCAAAGAGGCCACAGGGTTCAGACAGAAACACGGCAGGTGATTTTTCTCCAACTGGAGAGAAAAGTGCCTCTCATCTGGCAATGACCCAATTTTTGCTGCAATGATAATTTGGGGCAATTGCTTTTAGTTTGTATTCTTCATGTGAATAACTTCCGTCACTGAATTACAGCTTGTTAAAGTTATACGAGAAGCTAGAAATTACTTATCTCATCTGTCTACTGCGAATTATAAAAGTAGGGGCTGGAGAGGATGTGGCTGCATTTGTTATGGACTTGGATCCCCCAGGCCCCTTTCATCAGTGGATCACTAAGAATCCTTTAGCCTCGGTTTCTGCATGTAAAGTGCACACCATGGTTATCAAGGAAAAGAATTGCCTGCTTTTGTTATTGTTGGCACTGAACCTCTCTGGCTACCCACTTTTATACCCGCAGCTTACAACAAGGCAAATAAGTTGCTTTGTATTACAGCAGTTGGAGCACCAATGCTATATTTGAAATACATGCATATAAAGGGTTTTTAGGTGGCCATTTTAAAAGGCATACCAGGGACTGGGAAGATGGTTCAGTGGCCAAGAATAATTGCTTTGCAAGCATGAAGTGAAGACCTCAGTTCATATCCCAGAACCTATGGGAAATACTAGAAGTGGTGGCATGTAACTTCGGCTCTTGGAGGCAGGGCAAAGGCAAAAAGATATCTAAGACTTACTAGCCTAGCCAAAGCAAATGGAGTTCTGGGTTCTGTGAGAGACCCTGACTCAAGAGTATAAAGTGGAGAGTGTTAGAAGCTGAGATCCTCCATCTGCATGGGCATGCACATCTGCACACTTGTGTATGCAGACACCATGCTCCACGCACAAGACACACTAGCACAGACAGAGAGACAAACATTGCAGACCACAGCCTCGATATTCAGATATAGATCTTCCCCTAATTGGCTCCATGAGCCCAGAGCCTCTGAGCCCCTTTGCAGGTCAATTCATGTTCTATGTTTGCTGCTGTACCATTCACCAAGTGGTGACAGATTCTAGCTCATTATATAAAGGAGAAGCTGGTTTCCATGCGGAACCACAGGTCAACAAATCGATGCTATTTTCCTTTTGGAATATAAATCATCTCCTCTTTTAATTGACTCACCTATTTTCTGCTTACTTATTGTATAGTATAGATGTTTAAACATTTGTTATAAGATAATTGCAGTGGCTTGGAGACATTCTATATAGCAAAGCATGCTACCCTCATCCTAACTTCCATAAAGCAACCGCCTCAAAACCAACAGACTGCTTTCAAACGTGGCCAGGTATGACACTGGTGTTCTTCCTGTGGCTTAGGATCCAAATCAGTCCTGGGGCTCACATTTAGCTGGGACTCCAGCCTGGGAATTATTCTTTCTTTTCCTTAATCTCGACAGTTTTGAGAACTGCTTCTCAGTTTGCTTCATGACTGAATTCAGGTTACACGTCCCCTCTTTTGTAAACACTGTGTCTTGGGAGTTTGGGAGCTGCATTCACCACCAGCTTGGATTCTTTATGCAAAGCATATTTCTTTACATTCACCACCAGCTTGGATTCTTTATGCAAAGCACATTTCTTTACAGTGGAAGACCTGCTTCTTGCCCGTGCCTGGAGTGGTAACATGCCCTTCAAGTGGCTAATGCAACGCTTAGGATTCTGCTTCAGGACTCTTCATGGAATGATTTTACAGCACAGCAGACGTAAGTACTATATTATTTAAGGTACAACCCTAAGCCACTATGTGTCTAGAAGTGTCAGGCCTAAGTTCTTCTCATCTGTCATTGTTAATTAACTAGCAACAGACCTGCATCATCAAAAGTTCATTCTTAGATCAAGTACTGAATCAATCATAATTCCTCCAGACTAGAGTCACTCATAAATAACTTCACTATATAATAGTTCCATATGGCACATGAGTGAGCAGTTGTGGGAACCTCAGGGAGTTTACTCCTCAGAAGACAGCAGAGCAGGGGCCATCACTAACACCTCTACAGGCAACACAAACCATCACCCCTCAAAACGTCTCTCTTCCAGCTTTGATGCACAGCCACATGGAGACTCTAGCTGGCATTGGAAACATGACTTCAATCTCCCAATGTGTCATATATAACAGCATCACTGTCATGGGGGCTTACCAGCTCATTTTCTTATTTACCCATTTATGGGCTGTATTCTAAGAGATCAAAAAATGTCACATGCAGGATATTGTATAGTGAGTCAAAGTAGACATGGAATTTGTTTGCTGTTGGTGAGAAGAAAAACATGACTAAGAGTCATCAGGCAGAGGAGCAGAGAGAGAGAGAGAGAGAGAGAGAGAGAGAGAGAGAGAGAGAGAGAGAGAGAGAGAGAGAGAGAGAGAGAGCTCTGTGACTTCATTGGAGAAAAGGGATGAGCAGAATGGAAACGAAGCAGGAAAGTGTTCTGGTTTGTTCCAGAGAATGCCACTGATGAGTATTAAGCACAAGAGAGAGAACATCAGATTGGGGCTTCACAGTTCACTTTAATGCAACAGAGATGCCGTAGAGGTAGACACACAGTTTTCATAGCATCTCAGGCCAGGCTGAAACCTAGCATGGTGAGGGCAGAGACACTGGAAGAAGGAAGAACGAATTAGAGGAGGCTCAGCAGTGTTTGTATAGGAGCTGGCTCAGACTGCCAGTTTTCACCTTTTTAGCCTAACTGTAAAAGTTTCTTTACCTCCGTGGACCGTATTTCCTCGCCATTTTAAATGGAATAGAATAATGAATCCCATCTCATTGGGCTGTTAAAAAGAATAGGATGCGTTCGTAGAACTGAAGTACTTAGAGAAGTACTTGGGGGAGTGAAACCAGAGCAGAGATTCCCAACAGTTGTGAACAGCTATGTTGATACCGGGAATTGAACCTGGGTCCTCTAGAAGAATAGCCAGTGCTCTTGATCACTGAGCCATCTTGGGCCCCAGCAAAAATATTTCTAACACTATATCTGCTGTAAGTCCTCTTATCTTCTTCAGTCCATGAGTGTTGACTGCCACTTGACAGGCAGAAATTCTACCACCTATTTGAAAAACTTATTGATTGTGTTAATTCTTAGACTTTCTGCCCAGGGATGTTTTCCAAGATGTTCCATGTAGTTCTTAAAGGTACCGGTTGTTCTCTCACTTAAAGGTGATTCTTGTAGAGTGAACCACTGTCTTAGTTTGGGCTCCCTTCAAAATAGATGCAAAGATGCAGTGTTGACTTCAGTAAGTTTATCTGAGAGTTTATTTCCTCTGACAGTGAACACTGTCCTCTGGATCGCTGTTATTGTTGCACAATTGGCCTGGAAAGCAATGCTCTATTGCCAAACAATAATTATTTGTATCTTAGCCAGGCGTTGCTGGCACACACCTTTAATCCCAGCACTCGGGAGGCAGAGGCAGGTGGATCTCTGTGAGTTCGAGACCAGCCTGGTCTAAAAGAGCTAGTTCCATGACAGCCTTCAAAGCCACAGAGAAACCCTATCTTGAAAAACCTATTATTATTATTTGTAACCTATTAAACAGATTTAACACAATTTCAGTGTGAATGCTTCTTTTAGCAAATTGCCCCTGAGTATACAATGAAAGCAGTTGGGAAAGCAAGGGGGAAAAACAAGTGAACCCAACCCAAAGGGGGTTATCCAGTTAGCACCTGCCTCCCAGGAACTGGAACCTTGGACCTGTCCCAGGAGCTGTGCCTGTAATCCTCACAACTGGGAGACTGCAGCGGGAAGATTGTCACAAGTTGAGACCAGCCTGGCTACACAGTGGGTTCTAGACCAGTCAATCCTATGGGGTGAGACCCTATGTCAAATAAGAAAACATAACAACCACAGCAATAAAACTGTCCCAGAGAAGACAAGGCAATGGAGAATGCATCCTTGGGCTCCCATCTCTCATCCCTTGTCCCTGGTCCTTTCAGGCTCCTCTGAACAGGGGTGAGGGCCAGAGACAATGTGCAAGTCCTCCTTTAAGATTCGAAGACACTGGGCTGGGTGAAGCACTTACAGTGTGAGCATGGAGATTTACGTTCAAGTCCCCAACATGTACATAAAGCCTGGTGTGGTAACCACATCTCTAATCCCTGCTTTCCTATTGAGAGAGGCAGAGACCGGAGGATGCCTGAAGCTTGCAAATCAGCCAATCCAACATGCCCAGCTGCAAACAAAGGACACCTGTCTCAAATAAGGTGGTAGATACGGGCCAACATCTGAGGTAATTTCTGACCTACACCTCAGTGCCATGGCAAGTGTGTGCCCGTAAATACATCAAACACATACACACGTCACACACATACACCACCACCACCACCACCAAGATCTGAAGAAAAATAAAGTCTAGACGACATGGTGAGCCCGTAGGTGGAACTCTAGGGCATATCGGAGCCCAGCAGTCAACGGTATCTGTCACCACCTGAAAGACAGACAGATTGTCAATTTTGCTATTGGTAATTTTTAATCTCATCACTTTATGAGATACATTTTTACTGAAACTTGAGAGCTACAGATTTTCTTTACTTATTTGTAAAACTACCCTCTCTTGCCTTTGTTGAATATATCAACGACGAAACTGCTTTTGAACAAAAATAGCCCAACTTCATTTTTAATTCAAATAAATATGTTAATGCAAGATTAAGAAATGTCATCAAGTATCTCTTGAATTTAATTTGCATTTAATATTGAATAAATATCAAACATTACTAAAACTACTGAGAAATACATGTCAGAATGTATATTGCAAAGAGATTTAAGTGATGTATATCCAATAGAATTAATGTATCACTTTTTAAATAAGTTATAAAAGAAAGTAGGTCATGTGACTATATTATCTAATTATAAAAAAAGAAGTGCAGTTTAGCTGAAATTGTAAACTATAGCTGATGTGAGGTCTATGATGAAAACCATGGTATTTCTCTGGTGAATGTGTGTGTGTGCGTGTGCATGTGTGTGTGTGTGCGCGTGCGTGTGTGTGTGTGTGTGTGTGTGTGTGTATTGATTATGATCTGCCTTGGGAGAAAATGAATTAGAACCAAGTGTAAGTATCATCAATAATGTACTAACTTCTCATCCTCAGCATTAAACTGTCCCCTGGTGTTTAAAGAGAAGGCCGTGGAATGCTAAAATTGATCACTATGAATGCGTGCCTGCATTTGTACTTTTTTTTTGTCCCTAGGAATAGAAAGCATTGAGCACGTTACAAATAAATTCAGATGCTGATTAATTTCAATGACGTTACTCACGATGCACTTTAATAATGAACATTTTCAGTGTTTTATTGGAGGTCACAAAACAAGTTGGAGAGAAGCTATGAAGGAATCTCTGTTGTGGATTTTTGTCAAACTTTAGGAAGCTGGACAGCCCTGTACACATTTCAATGGTGTGCATAAGGACTGCCAGTGATGCTGCTTTGAGTCACTGGTGTCTTCTAGGCACAATGCCGAGGGGCCTGAGAGGAAACCCAGGGGTACCTCACAGCCCACAGCGAGATTCACTCTTATGAACTCTACCTCCTGTCTCCTGACTATTAGGGTTACTTCTTCTGCCCCCCTTTGCAATGCAGTCCAATATCCCAGTGTGCAGCTTGGAAAGAACTGGAGGACTGACGGCTTCCCTCATCCCAAATAGTCACTGAGGGAGGTGCTTGTGTTTTCACTAGCTGGAGTTTTTCAAACTCAGAAGCAATATTGTGGTGATATATTATTTATGATTTATTAAAGCTTGCCTGAGGGTGCATAAAGCATAACCAGCCACACTAGTTAGCTATAGCAGCCAGGCGGTGGTGGTGCACACCTTAATCCCACCTCTTGGGAGACAGAGGTAGGTGGGTCTCTGTGAGTTCAAGGCCACACTGAGCTACATGAAGTTGATCCAGTCCTAAAGAGAAACAACTCACACAAAGATGATCTCAGCACTTGGGACCTTTAATCCCAGCACTAGGGAGGTATAAAAAGCAAAGGGATCTCATGTGGACATTTATTCTCCAGCCATGCTGAGGCTTGGTGGAGAGCCCGTGGAGACAGAATCAGCCCTTTCAGCCTGAGGTAGTGGCTTGGTTGCCTTGCTTTTCTGATCTTCAGCTTGAAGTATGAACCTTAATATCTGTCTATGGGTCTTTCACTTTTTTGTGTTACACAATATGACTAGAAAATTTTGATGGGTGGAAAGTGCTTCTGTGAAATAGGAAGCTTCAGGTCAATCAGGTAAAATGTTCTTTGCTCATAAGCCCATTGCATAATCCTAATGAGGAGACAGCCTGGTGATCAGATGTACACATGTCAAGTCTTTCCAGAGTGCCTGATCTCAGTCCACAATACCAGCTTACTGTGGCCCACCCCCCACCCCATCGCCAGCATCTGTAGGACATTCTCATCGCCTGATTAGTGTGGTACTTGACAACGACACATCCTGAAATGTTCCCAATTTGGCACGAAGAATATTACTCCCTAAAATTTTCTTTATGTTTTCCATTTCCTTTTTATTTTTCTTTTTGGTTTGCTTTTTGAGACACGGTTTCTCTTTGTAGACCAGGCTGGCCTCAAACTCACAGAGATCCACCTGCCTCTGCCTCCCGAGTGCTGGGATTAAAGGTGTGAGACACACTGCCAGGCTTTCCATTTCAGTTTTCAAGGCTGAAGTGTATTGTTTGTTTGTTTGTTAAGTGTGTGCTTATATACATGAACTGAGTTTCTGCTGCTGTTAATTGGCCTTTGTATCTTTCTCCCATTTCTGATATTTTTTAAAATTAAAATTTGAAGAAATTTATATATTCTATATTAGTATTTTAAATGTTGTGAAGGTTGTCTACTAGTATACTACTGCTTTACAATTCCAGGTACAGACCTATCATCATCACCTAGTACTACATTATTTTTCTACTATTGGTGGTGGTATAATTAACATAGTTACCCTGTCCAGACTCCCTTTAGGTATCCCACACATTCTACTTCCTTAAATTCCCACAATACCTCTATTAGTCCAGTGTTCATCACATCCCACTTTGCAGATGAGAAAACTGAGGTATCCAGAGACTTAAAGAAATTTGACAAGATTATTTAGGCAGTAGGCAGCAAGGGTATGATCTCAACTGTTGTGGAATTATCCTTTACACAGTGTGAAGATATGTCACTGTGACCTAATAAAAACCTAAATGGCCAATAGCTAGTTAGAATTTTTGGGCAGAGAGAATGCTGGGAATAAGGGCAGAGTTGCAAGGAGAGACAGAGGAAGCATGACATGTAGGAGATGAGGTAACAAGCCATGAGCCATGTGGTAGCACATAAATTCCTAGAAGTGGATTAATTTAACTTATAAGGGTTAGTTAGAAACAAGCCTAAGCTATCAGTTTTCATAATTAATAGTGTCTCCATGTGGTTATTTGGGCACTGGCTGTCAGGACAGAGAAAGACTCACTACAAACACTGAACTCTATTTCCAGAATAGTCTCTCTTACTGTTACATAATCTCATAGATTCATTTTAGTACAACATCGCTCAAACTGCAATTTTTTAAAACTTCATTTGCTTATAAAATAGTAGATGGCACTGAGTTTTATACTGAAAGCTATGGTACAGACCACTTTGTTGACATTAAGTTCCAATGGTGTATTCTGTAAGACTTGTTTGTTAAAAATAAAAAAATAGAATAACCCCCCAAACAGAGAGAAAACCCACAGTCTCTACCCTCAAGAAGCCTACAATGCAGGAAAGAAGGTACAGAGTCACACTGCTACATGATAAGCATGATGACCAGTGTGATAAGAGTCAATCAAGGGTACTGACAACGTCTATAGGAAGGCTCCCTGACACACAGTTCTATGGGAAGATATAGATTGTCGTTTCATAGGAGTCGTGGTTTTTAATTGTAACCTTCAGTTATGAAAAATGGCCAACTTGCACCACCATGTGTGTCAATCCTCATCCACCCGCATGTTAGTTTAGATCCAGCATCTTCCTGCTGAGAATTTGGGCCCCTGGCTTACCCCTTGGATGCTTTTGCACTCTGACACTTACAGTTTGCTTAACACTTTATGGCTGCTCATTATTAGATGGGGTGGGTGGGTGGGAGGGATGGGGTAGGGATGGTATGGGGTGGGAGCTACAATTATAACTGTTAGTTCTTTTCTTTTTCTCCTTGTTATTTTCCTCTCCAGTAAAAGCTGTATAATATTCTTCAAGAAATTAATGAAGCTTTAAGATGTTCGTTGTGTCAAAAATGACATAAGCTGCTGTCACCTTACTGTTTTCCTCTTGAAAATTTAAAAAAATAATGCCTTGGGTCAAGAGTGGGTAATGCTGGCCGCTAAATGAAAGGCTCTTACACCTCGCAGTGCTTTGGATGGAAGGAAGACAAGGAAATGCAAGGGAATGTCTTGCTTTCAGTGCTCGCAGTACTGACAGAGTAGTGCATCCAGGAGAAAAGCCTCAGTGACAGTGACAGTGACCTCACATTGGGCAAGCGCGATCTTATCTGGATTATTCCCATGAAATCATTCCATACTGGTTATTTTTAAGCACACAGATGAAAACATTTACTTCTTGGCTGCTAGCGTTCTGTCTCACCTCGGTTGCTATTTTAGCAATTGTCCTATAAATGGACAGTGCTATGATCTCATGGATCTCTGGAAGGACAGAGAAGAGAGATCAAAGATACACCTGACTGATGACGTGGGAAGGGGGCAGAGCCTACCAGCAGGATGCTTGCAGGACAGGGACAGAGGCAAACTAATGAAAACATTGGGCTGTTGGCCATAGCATTCCCACCAACTGTATTATTTTTCTGTATGTTGCTTTTAGTTAATTCCTGAAATATCTCATAGTATCAGTTCCAAGAAGTCACTGTAATGAATGCCTGAGGATCCCTCTGGTTAGGCTGACTGTGTGTACTCTGGAGTCCCTTCCTTGAAGAATTCTAATCCTCCCTTCAACCAAAGGGGTCTGGGCCTATGAATTAGCTGAGCCATTCATTATATAATGATTTGAGTCTAACTCTCAGACCTGGAGTTTGTTACTTGGATTGGAAGTTGAGCACATCATGGTCTATGCCCATTTCTTTTCTTTTCTACCTTTTTAAAAGTTTTTTTTAAATTTCATTTTGCATTCCAACCACAGTTCTCACTCCCATCCCTCCTCCCAGCCCCCCTCGCCTCCACCTTCAGACCACCCCCCCACACTCCTCCCATATGGTAAGGGCTCCCATGGGGAGTAGACAAAGTCTGGCCCATTAAGTTGAGACAGGACCAAGCCCATCCCCCCTACATTAAGGCTGAGCATGACATCCCACCCTGGGGAATGGGCTCTAACAAGCCAGCTCATACACCAGGGATAGATTCTGGTTCTGTGGTCAGGGACCCCTCAGGTACATCTAGCCACATAATTGTTTCCCACTTGCAGAGGGCCTAGTTCAGTCCCATAGAAGCTTCACCATGGTCAGTCTAGAGTTTGTGAGTTCCCATGACTTTGGATCAGCTGTGTATAGATTTCTCATGGCCATGTCTGATCTACCACCTGTCTGTGAACTAACTGGCTTGGATATGTCTAGTGATTGGGAAACCCAAAAGGGAAACTGGATGGCAAATGAAAGTGTTATGACCAATATTCATAAAGTTTTATTGGAGAACTTTATACTTGGTATGTTTGGTCAATGTGATTTCATGACACTATAACACAACTGAGTGGATGAACAGAAATCAGACACAGTGCTTTATACTTACAAGGTAAGCATAAGTGCTGATCATGCTGTAAATTATGGGAATACATCCATGATATATCTACAATGCAACAGTTTTGAGTACCATTACATATCAGTCTATTGTAAAAATTTTACTGACACTTTACACTCATGTCATGAGCAGAAAACAAGATAAAAGTGGGATTTGTGTATATGTCTTTAAGGCATGGCAAAGGACCTGTGAAAAACTCAGATGCTCAGGTGTATGAACTTGTCGTGTTTTCAGGTCACTAAGCCAACTTGGCCATTATCAATTTTCAGCTCTAACCTTCTAGTTCGGGGTGAGATGGGGCAGTAGCTCAGAAGGTACCAGTGTCTTCTACTCATATGTAGCTGGGCATGAGCTGACTTTAGGGTCTTTTATTCTGAAAGTTAACCACTGGGTTTATTTATTACAGGATACATTATATTTTTATCAAATGAAATAATGCAAGACTCCATTAATTATGCAAGGACACCGTAGCTTCCAAGTGACTTATTTGCCAGCCAAGCAAGCAAGAACATTCACATACTGGTGGTGAATTAATTAAATCATGCTTGATCTTAGCAGTTAAAGGAAGGTTTCTTGAGAAATAAATTTAAGATTATTAGCATTTTACCAGGAAGAGTTTTTTTAAGGGTTCAGAACACTGAGAACAAAATCAATAGTCAATTTAAAAACAAAGCAAGTGATTTTGAGTGGTTTTCTTTAGCTCTGGATGAGTTGAAAAATGTTTATGGTACCATTCAATTATTTCTTCAGGGAGTCAATTCTTGGCTGGTTTGAAATGACTAAAGATACAGTCGCTGAACAGTCTGTGGTTCACTATGGAACAATTGCAGGTCAGCATAGGCTCAGAGAAGGTGAGAAATCACTAATTCAACATTACAAAATAGAATCTGTTATGGTGTGTTGCAACTGAGACTAGTTAAAATACACAGGGAGGCAAAAAAAACTTAGATAAATTTACAATGCATGTGAAAGCCTAAAAAATTGAAAGTTTCCTTGTTGCATTATCCCTCAGTAGGTAATCTGCAGAAATTTTCAGTTTATCATTTGCTAGCAAATCAAGAAAGGCAACAAATTCCATATTGTAGACTCACCTACTGGCAGTTTAACAAATTTTTCTGTTAAAAATACAGATTATCTGTAAACATTTTTGTTGCTAAGTATCCCCTCCCTTGGGATGTAAACAATGTCTACCTCTCCTCCCTAGATCCCGACAACAAAGCAAGGTGCAATTCGACCAAAGTTCATTTTGGGGAACCTGTGAGTTTCTTAGGGTTACAGAGCATGGGTGAGCGGTTAAGGTCAGAAGTGTGTAAAGCAGCCATAGTGGAAGGTCTACAACCAATGTGGCTCTCTAATGGCTCTGCAGATGGCTCCCACTTACCCTAATCCTTCTCCACTTATATTTTCTTAGTATAGCCCTTCCCAGAGCCCCTGAAGCCATGTGCAATTAGAGCAGAATTATATACAACTGGTCAGGAGGAAGGGCTGGGTACTCAGGTAAGGGTCCTTTTCTGTTCTCACTTTCCAAGTCAATGGCCAAGAAACCCAGCTCTGATGATCATCAGCAAGCGGGTGTCGCCAAACTCCTGAAGATGTCTACAGCATCTCTGAGGATTACACCGAAGCTATGAAAGTTAGTGATGCTGTAGCCATGGTGACATCATAGCACAATACATTCCTGATAACATCTGCGGTGATGCTGGTGTGGAGAAACCTGCTGCATTAAAGCAGATCACACACAGTTATGAACAGTGTGTAATGTGTGGTTGTGACAAAAAATGGTATCAAATGTCCTTTTCATATGTATTAAAATAAACCATTTACTATTTTAAAAAACCCACCGTGTCATGTTTGTGGCAGCCTCATCATCTCCTTTTTACTGTGTCTCTTGATTACATGAATAGGCTTTATCAGTTTGTGCTATGCACTTTGTATTTGCACAACTACAAAATTGTCTAGTAGCACATTGCTCAGTACATGTCCTTGCTGTTATGCCATGAGTAGCTGGCTATATAAGAGATGAAGCTGAGTTATGTAAATATCCTCTAAGTAATGAATATGCTTAAAATGATATGCTCCTGGTCTCAATGCTAATATTTGGCAATACTTACCTGTGTAAAAAAGAGTTTCAAATATTAGGTTACATCACAAAGTTTATTAAAAATCAGCTCTAACAGGTAACATTGGCAAGCAATTTTGGTGCTAGAAAGCACTAACTCAGAGCCTGGGTTAAGTGAAATACCACACTCTCCTGAAGGGTTATCGGCTCTGTCCTGCCAGCTGCTCCCCAATAACCACAGAGACTTAATATTAACTATAAATGCTCTGCCAATGCTTAGGCTTGTTTTTAGTTAGCTCTTATAACTTAAATCAACCCATTTCTATTAACCTATGTGCTGCCCTGAGGTTCCTCTACCTCATATGCATACTTTCCATCCTGCTCTCTCTGCATCTCATTGAGTGTCCCTTGACTCCACCCTTCTTCTCCCCAGCATTCTCTCTGCACCCAAAATACCACCTACCCATCAGTCAATCAGCTTTTTATTAACAATGAGAGCAACATATCTTCACAGTGTACAGAAGGAGCATTCTACAGCATTTTCCCCTTTTTGTCTTAAAAAGAAAGGTTTTAACTTCAACATAATAAAACTATATACAACAAAAAGAGTTATCGCCGGGCGGTGGTGGTGCACGCCTTTAATCCCAGCACTCAGGAGGCAGAGGCAGGCAGATCTCTGTGAGTTCGAGGCTGGGCTGGACCAACAACCTCCAAAACAATACAGAGAAACCCTGTATCGTAAAAACAAAACAAAACAAACAAAGAAACAAAAAAAGAGTTATCAAGTAAGAATTACTGTTACAATATCCAGTCCATTTGGCAAAATTACAGAAAATATTCTATTATTTATCTTATTTTTATGTGTTTAAAGCTTTAAATCTAATTTACTTTTAATCATAAATAAGGAAAACTTTAAGTCTAATTGTTTAGTCTTTAACTTCATCAAAGACCCCAGAATGGTATAATGTTACCTAATGACCAGGACTTCTAGCTGCCTGAGCAGTCACCCAAAGCTCTTCTATGACATTAGGGCATCCATCTTGGGCCTATACGCCTAGTATATTTGATAGACTTTTCTGAGAAGCAGGGAGTTTTGCATGACTATCCTTCTTTACCTTGGCAAAGTTTGGCAGTCACTTTCTTTTTCATCCTGCTGGTCCAGTTTGGACAGCATACTGTCAGCAATTGAGGAAAGGGCAGTTATTTGCCCAAATGGCTAGCTTTTTCCATAAAAACAGCAAATTTCATATCGAGGTTCTTCAATGCCCATCATCTTCTTTTGAAGTAAATTGTTGTTATCAAGCAGATTGGTCTCACTGTCATGTAAAGCCTTAGGTTATTCAACATATCAAGTGCCATATTATATAGGTCTGTGAAGTGTTTGAAGACTATTGATCTATATAAATATATCTGTTTAACTTTGAAAATGTACCTAATATGACTATAAGTTGGATTATTATAGATGACTAACTACTAACCTGTATTTTAAATTATATATTACATTTTAAATGAGTTGCATAAACACAATACCCCAAACAAGAGTAAAAACATACATATAGTATAGCAAAAAAAACCTTGCATTTGAATCAATAAACCAAAAATTCATACCAATGTAAAATATTTTGAGACTAATAGCTATTTTTGGATTAAAGTAGATTCAATATTCTATTCCTTTTTCCTATCATTCGTATACATATCCCTCTTTTTCCTTTAGAAAGAGATCTTTGAATTTAACACTTTTGTTTAGCTTTTTTCCTATGACCAATAACAACTTGTAAACAACCTCCCTTAAATGATGACAAACATCCATAATCCAGCTTTTGGGACTGTGGGTGTTGTTTTTTTCTAGACTGCCTCCTGTTTTCTGGAGGTGCTGGAATCTTTGGGAGAAGCTTGAGAAAATCAGGATAATTGTTAAGTATTGGCTGGAGTAGTTTGTGAGGGTGAGTCATCTCAGTCAGCAGCCTTGAAGCTTTTGGATGCCAAATTCTGAGGAGACTGTCACAAAAGCATTTTAGGATACTCGATCACCTGGGCCATTTGTTTTCATTGGTGTCTAGTACTCTTACTCTGAAAATGCATAAACTTTTAAAGGCAACATACATTTCTGTATTAATATAAGTATAGACTGCGTGTTGTACACAGGTTAGTCAAAGATTAATTTTTGTTTTTATGTTTGAGCGGGTAAATATGTGTTATGTTTTATAGTTTTTCTATGTGTATTTTTTGTACACATAGACAATATTTTCAGGGGGTCTTCCCTGATCAAACATGATCTATATCAACCTGGAATGAATTAAAACAGCCTCTTCTTTCCTATGGAAATAAAAGAATAACCTCTTCTCCAAAGCAACACATCTTTTGACTTCCATTTTGAAGTCAAGATATTTTTAAAATATATAGGTTTGTTTAACTAGCAGTTTTCACAATCCAGTGTGTTTTAGCAACTATCACTTGTTCATCAGCAGTTAGAAAATTCAATGACAGCACAATTATATACAGAATCCAGACTCTCTATGTATTTTCTATCTTTATGTGGCCTATTGGTTTTTTTTCATCATTTTATTCCTTTTTAAAGGACTTTAATATTTTTAAACTATTTTTTTTTGCTCTATGACTGTACATACCCTTTCTCTCCAAAGTCTGTGTATATTTTTAAACTCACTGTAATCTACATATAGGGATTTTTCCCCATCTGTATCTGCATACTGTTCGTTGATCACATGATACAAATCTTAAATTGTTATGTCAGCTGCCTGTACTGCTCAGTTTAGTAAACAGCACTAGTACATGGTGGTTGGCAGCTGACTCTACCCCTCAGGCAGCTGCTGGGAGATACATTTCTGTTCTGTGGCCCACATTAGAAACACAAGACTAGGATGCCACATGTGTCTCTGTTTTTGTGTGTTTAGAATCTTTTCAAAGCTTTCTCAGGTCTTCTGTGAATGCAGGTGTTCCATGTTGGAACAACATTTGTAGGCGGACTTTCTCTGTGTCGTGGCAGTCAGCTCTGTACTACCAACTGCTCCCAAACAACCACACAGAAACTTAATATTACTTATAAATGTTCAGCTGATAGCTTAGGCTTGTTGCCTAGATAGATGTTATAACTTAAATTAACCCATTTCTATTAATCTATGTGGCATCCACGAGCCTCATTTACCTCATATATGTACTTTCCATTCTACTCTCTCTGTATCTCATTGAGTCTCCCTTGACTCTACCCTTCTCCCCAGCATTCTCTCTTCCCCCCAATGCTGCTTACCCATTGGCAAATCAGCTTTTTTTATTAACAATGAGCGTAACACATCCTCACAGTATCCAAAATGATTACTATACAGCACTTACCAGACTATATTTATTACAAAGAAATTACACTCCATTCATAGTGTTTTACTTTTTCATTTCATCAGCAAACACTTATTGAAGTTTTGTTATCTCTTTTATGTAAATACCTCTGGAAAATCTTCCTTTTTGCCTCTTGGCCTGCAAAGGGCAAGATATTCCTATATCTGACTTTATAGGGAAAGTTTGGTAAACCCTAACAGAGGCCTAGCAGGATATCCATAGGTCGCCCAGGCTGCGGGCACTTGGACTGTAAATTAGAAATGTTTTAATGACTGCCTCTCCACTGGTGTCCTTTTCTATGAATGGATTTCATTTTCTTAGCAATCAGCACCCCAGATTTCCTGTGCCATTCCAGGTCCTCATAGTCTCACTAAGTCCTCAATGGCAGCATTAGTCTACAGAGGACAATCATCACAGAACTGCTCAAGGATGCTGATGCCTCTATCACCAGTAAATATCTTTATGCTTTTATAGGACAAGTGTCCTCCATCTGTACATGGATGTAGATTATAGGCAATAAATTCAGAAAGCACATTGTGAATATGCTTCAACAGCCTTGTATTTCTAAGATGAATTAGACAGATTCCTTATACTTTACTATGGTCAGAGACATCTCTATTTCAGTAAACATGAGTCATGGTTTTAAAGCTGCCAGAAAACTATTAAAGTCAAATTTAGTTGCTGGAGATACAGCTTCAAATCCAGACTATGTTGACTTCATGCTTTTCGTTATGTTCAATAAAACCCAGTCTGTTCTACATTCTATTCATTTTGTCCTTGATCTGTTACCTCAAGAAGAAGATCTCACATTTATTTTTCAGATTCTGCCATTGTATATTTTATTTACACCATACTACAATTATCTTTGTATGTACTCAATTTTCTTCTGGGTCACTTAGTACTTACCTACAATAGGAAGTGCCAGATCTTGTGGTAGTTTGGTTTGAAGGTGATGTCCTCCATAGTCTTGGTCTCCAATTGATGTTGTTGGGGATGTTTTGGAGGTGTAGCCTATTGGAGGAAGTATGTCACCAAAGAGAATTTAAAGACTTGTGCCATTACAAGTCTCTCTCTGCTCTGTGCTTGTGGTTTGTTCAAGAACTTGTCATCATTAAGCTTCCTGCTTAAGCCACTATGCTCGATGCCTGCTGCCTCTACTCAGCCCTTCATTGACTTTAACCATAAGCCCAAACAAACTCTCTCTTCTATAACTTACCTTCTTCATGAAATTTTATCATAACAATAGAAAAGAAACTAATACAGATCAGGTTCAAAGTATGGGTGTTGCAATAAAGTAACCTATGGGAAAGGTCTTAAGGGGAAGGGATATTTCATAGCAAAGGCTCTGTGCCATTACTAAAATTGATTTCAGCAGAGAAGCCAGGATCTCTAGAAATACAAGAAACTTTGACTGGTAAGGGAAGATTCT